TTATATTTCTTATGTGGTATTTGTGGTGGTAAAATTGATGAGGTAATGTGGTAATTGTGGTAATTTTGTTATCATGAAATGGTAATATGACATTTTGAATTCGGCAACACTGTTCTACAGTCAACACCTTCTGTTTACATTACGTATGACATAGTCACGTGTTGATATCGTATTCGCGCACTTTATATTTATCAAATACCGTCGACAATTTGTTTATTTTTTTAAAAAAAATGTCTTTACAATCTGATACACATTCACAGACGAAAATTACTATTTACAATGTGTATAAATATTTAAAAAAATTATCGATGGACTCGTCTAATCCGGAGATAGCCACTTTCTTTAAACAGACACAAACAAAAATTGACGAAGCATGTGGTGTAAGTGAAAAAAACAGTGAAACGTATCACCGCGGAAGGAAATAAATCGTCTTCTGCATCCCAGACTGATCCAACTTTCACTTCGCCACGAAAAAATTACAAAAGGGCAAAGATTGCAAGTTAAGTTGATGGTTTTGATGCGGATATTGTAAGAAGAATTGTTCACGAAATTTACGATATACGTGAACGTGAGTACCCTACTACATCAAAAATTCTAACCGAGTATCAAAAAAGAACTGAGTACAAAGGTTCTGTTACATCTATGTGGCGTATTTTAAAAAGTCTGAATTTTAAATATAAAAAATGCAATGACGGGCGTCGGTTCTTAATGGAGAGAAATGACCTAGTTGCTATGCGTGTAAAATTTTTACGTACTAAGTCAATCTTCGAAAAAATAATGATACTCGACCTGTCATTTATTTAGATGAAACGTGGGTCAATCAGAATTACACAAAAGSGTATATTTGACAAAATGAATTAAATTCGGAAAGGCTCAAAGTACCTCCAGGGAAAGGAAGTAGACTAATTATTTTCTACGCGGGATCTAGTTCATTTGGATTTGTACTTGGATCCAAGTTAGTTTTTCGATGCCAAAGTAGTAATTCTGTTGATTATCACACACAAATAAATTCGTCGATTTTTAAAGAGTGGTTTATAAAAATGTTACAAAATTTAGAGGAACCATCTATAATTATTWTGGATAATTCTTCGTACCATTCAGTTCAATTAGAAAACTATCCAAAGGCAAATGAAAAAAAAACAAACGTCCAAAAATGGCTTTTTGATAAAGGGGTTGAATATTCACCACTAGAGACATTAAGTGAACTACGTGAAAGGGTAAAACTATTGGTACCAAGACAAAAAGTATACGAGCTTGATCAAATTGCATTGGAAATAGGACATGAAGTCTTGCGTCTCCCCCCTTATTATTGTCAATACAACCCTATAGAGCTGATATGGGCACAAGTGAAAAGTGAAGTAGCCTCAAAAATGTGAAATTTAAAATTTCTGACGTGGAAAAACTAGTCAACGAAGCATTGGATGCCGTAACCATGGATAATTGGAAGAAGTGTGTGAGTCATTGCGAAAAATTGCAAGACGAAGATTTTATCAAGGAAGGTCTACGTGACGAAATTTTAGAACCAATTATATTGACCATTAATCCAGACGAAGATTCTGAAGATTCCGTAGATGATGAGGATATGGATTGTTGAAAAAAAAAATTGTTTTTATTTATTCAATATTTTAATATAATTATGTAATAATATACATACAAGGTGTCCCACGGGGAACAGACAAATTAAATAACTTTTGTTCTAATCAATATTTTTTAAAAATTTCTTTTAAATATAATTCATAGACATTTGCACTACACTTTTAAAATGCATTTTTTTATTTTTATTTTTTAATACTGAAAATAAAAAAATTTTATCGAAATATTCAATGCAGCCAATTTGTAAATCTGATTTTCAGAAAAATTTGTATGGTAAAAACACTTTATTTTAATCAAATAGCTGATTTTTTTAAATTTTTTAAATATCAATATTTTCGTTAAGTAAATTACGATCTAGTTTAWGTTAGAAACATTTTAATTTCAAAAAATATTTTATATGAACATTTCATAGGTTCGTGTTAAAATCTAATTAATTTTTTATTGTATCTACTATTTTATTATAATAATATTATTTGGTCAATAAACTCATTTTGTTTAAACAAAATGTTTCTAACATAAACTAGATTGTAATCTACTTAACAAAAATATTGATATTTAAAAATCAGCCATTTGACTTAAATAAGTGTTTTTACCATATAAATTTTTCTGAAAATCAGATTTACAAATAGGCTATATTAAATATTTCGAAAAAAAAATATAAATTTTTAAGTTTTTTAATTTCAGCATTAAAAAATAAAAAATGTATTCTAAAAATGTAGCGTAAGTGTATATGAATTATATTTAAAAGACATTTAAAAAAAATATTAGAACAAAAGTTATTTCATTTGTCAGATCATCGTTGGACACTCTGTAAGTGATATTAATTAGTTGTATTTTTATTCGTAAATAAATAAAAATTGTGCTACTAAATTAGCAGAATTCTTCATTCTTCGTTATATTAGGAAATATTGCACTTAAATTACAGCATTTAATTAATTATATAATAATATACAAATGGGTAATTAATTTAAATTTTCCGCGCTTTTTTCGCGCCTGTTTAGTAAGCCCTACGTAAAGGCGCGATAAAGTCGAGGGCCACTTTTGCTGAAAACGACTATAACCACGATT